GGAGGGGCGAGCTGGGCACCTCAGTCCTACTCTGTATCTGTCGCGTGTGATCTCCCCAGGCGGCCAACTACTCGTGTTACGCAGTGTGTGTGTGCACGTGTGTGTGTGTGTGTGTGGGTGTGTGTGTAGGGGACATGTGTCAAGGGGAGCGCTGTGCTGGCGGGAATCGCATCAAGCCTTGGTGTTCTTATTTCTTCAAATTTCAGAGAACCCTGGCGTGCTGCCCCTTCTTCCCAGAGCCCTCGGGGCATGGATAGGCATTCCTCAGAGTTGCTCTGTGTGGCATGAATGGCGTCCCTGTCTGGCAACCTGATGAGCCATGCGTTTGGGAGGGGACCGCATGGGATGAGGGTTCCGATGGCCTACCCTGAGTCCGGGCTTTGCCACGTAGTGCGGCGACCCATTTATTGCCCAGCTGCGCACCTTCAAATGACCCCAAGACCACACCTCAAAGAAGTAACAAGTCAGCCTCAGAAAGGGGCGAGCACTATGAAGCAAATGAACGGGGCAGTGACACAGGCAGGAGTTCTGTGTTTATCTGTAATTACGAAATAGTGAAATATATCACATTGTTTTTCTTTATGAATTATTCTCTGGGGATATGGTTATATCATCTTTTCCTCATCCAGAGGTAATAGAGATATCCTTCCTTCCTTCCTTCCTTCCTTCCTTCCTTCCTTCCTTCCTTCCTCTCTCCCTCCCTCCCTCCCTCCCTTCCTTCCTTCCTTCCTTCCTTCCTTCCTTCCTTCCTTCCTTCTTCCTCCCTCCCTCCCTTCCTTTCTTCCTTCCTTCCTCCCTCCCTTCCTTCCTTCCCTGCTTTATGTATTTATTTTTCAAATCTAGACATTTAATTCATCACAAGTTTATTTTTATACATGTATAAGGTAGGAATTTTATTTAATTTTCTCTAGAAGATAAGCAAAGTTTTCCAACAAGGCATACTGAATAATAACGTTATTCTTATCTGATCAGAGTTTATATGCGTGTGTGTGTGTGTATATATATATATATTTTAGAATCATGATTCTGAAATTTCCATTGTTGTGATTTGTCATCCCTAAATTAGTAACATAGTGTTTTTTTTTATTACCAAAGCTTTGTCTTATGTCTTAATATTTGATAGGGCGAATCTTCCCTCTGTTTTTCTTTTTCCAACTTGCTTCAGCTATTTGTGAATATCTTTGTGTTGTATAAATTTAAAAATTAGATGAGAAAACTTCTTCTCAAAACTCCATGGAGATTTTTATTGGAATTACATTGAATACTAGATTAATTTAGGGAAAATTGACATTCATACAATATTTGTCATCTGCTTCATAAATATTTATATATCTTTTGTGTCCTTTAGTGGAGCCAAATATTCCTTTTATATTAAAGCAATATGAATATATTATGAAGCAGAATGCAAAATTGTCATACATTATAGGGTAAGGCATGAGACTTCAAGGAACTGTTGCACTTGGTATGTATTGCAGTTCCCTTCCCACCAAGACTTCCCTCCTTTGAGGAGGTCTCTCTCTGCCCTTGACACTTGGCTGGACAAGTTTTAGGAGCACTGCCCTCATATTTTTCCTGTAAGATAACTCTCTCCTACATGAATAGTTAAGTATGTGGATTCTGGAGTCAGAACAGTTGGGTTCAAATCCTGAATCATTTATTGGCTGTGTAACCTTGGGCAGGTGCTTTAACCTCTCCAAATTCTTAGTTTTGTCAGTAGTAAGACGGAGAATCAGATAAGGTAATGCATGCCAAATGCTTCACAGAATACTAGGTGTGGAGTAAGTGCTCGGTAAACATTAGCTACTATATAAGCCATTTTAAGCCTTAGTTGCTTTGCTCAAACACATGACAATGTGTGTGTGTGCGCGCATACTTGTAAATGAAAAACAGAAAGATTTGCCCTATCAAACATCAAATGACCTTTCTGAGGCAATTGTAGTTTAAAACTACTTTTCATTCTCTTCAAAACGTATGACTATTAAAAAAATCAAATGTGGGAGGATACATAGTTTCAATAAATAAAGAACTAAAACAGGCTACAAAAGAGTAAAATCGAGGCATCTGGTAGCAGCAGAAAGCTGTTACAATATTAAGTGTTTAATTGAAAGTAGATAAAGAGCTTTGTAGTAGGAACTAGGAATAATTTTGTTACCAAGTAATTATATCTAGAGTGAAAGTAGGGACCAAGAGGCCAAGAGAGAAACCCCTTAGTTACTACTTAGCAGAGTTTTCACTGCTCTTGGCTTGGAGCGAGGGAAGAAGCAACAGGAAGGAAGGGTTGAGGGTGTTTTATTATAAAGCTAAGCTGCATTTGGGCAGGAAACCACAACTTTGATGACGAGATTCTCTTGAAGCAACTGCTTAAGGCAACACCATAAGCAAGCAAGAATTCTGAAGGGGTGAAAGTGACTGCGGAGGTAGTGAGCTCATTCCTGTTTCATTACCTCAAAAGCAATGCCCCGTTCCCGTTAGGGGGATCATGGGCTACAGATATCTGACTCTTAGGAGAGACTGATTCTATTCCCCCTGGAACTTCGAATAAACACCCACGGTTAAATCAAATACTAATCAGTAGCAGTGAAAGTAGGAGGGAGAAGACTCAGTCTCTGCTTGGAGATGTTTGCTTTTAATTTCAAAATCTTTTGTGATTTTTCTTATTGTTTAAACAAAAGGGGCTGGGCACGGTGGCTCATGCCTATAATCCTAGCAGTTTTGGGAGGCTGAGGTGGGAGGATTGCTTGAGGCCAGGAGTTTGAGACCAGCCTGAGCGACATAGCAAGATTTTGTCTTTACCAAACAAAAGAAAGAAAGAAAGAAAGAAAGAAAGAAAGAAAGAAAGAAAGAAAGAAAGAAAAAAAGAAAGAAAGAAACGAAAGAAACAAACCAGAAAAATTAGCTGAGTGTGGTGGCACATCCCTGAAGTCCCAGCTACTCAGGAGGCTGAAACAGGAGGATGGTTTGCACCCAGGAGTTTGAGGTTGCAGTGAGCTATGACGACGCTACTGCTCTCTGGCTCCAGCAATAGAGTGAGACCCTGTTTCCAAACCCCCACCCCCCAAAACAAAAAAACAAAAACCCCATAAGGGTATATAATTTATATTTAATGTCTGTTTATAAAACTCTTTTGATGAAATCATATTTTTACCAAATGTATGATTATTATGGACTGTAGCAAGGTATTACTTATTATTTCCTTCTCTTATCTGTACCAGGAAATAGTTTAGCCAAAGACCAGTTTGCTAATACGGTTAGTTCCTGGTGAAAGTAGTGAAATTGAAAGCATGAAGAATCGGGAGTATATAACCTGCATTTATGAATTCAAATTGGTAGAAGAATGGCAAATATATGTGGCTGATACACTGGGTATTATACTAATCCTTAAACTTTCCACTGGATCATCCCATAAGCATACAAACCTGTTATTACTTTCCTCATGTAAAAATCAAAATATACAAACAAAACACACTCTTTGACCCCATTCCACCTTTAGCTACAGTCCTTCTTCTCTCCAAGCCTCTTAGTGACACTTATAAGGCAACTGCATTGTAAAACTATTCTTTTTAAAGAGTTGGGGTTTTGTTTTGTTTTGTTTTTTTGTTTTTGAGACAGAGTCTCACTCTGTTGCCTGGGCTAGAGTGCTGTGGAGTCAGTCTAGCTCACGGCAACCTCAAACTCCTGGGCTTAAGTGATTCTCCTGCCTCAGCCTCCTGAGTAGCTGGGATTACCGGCATGCGCCACCAGGCCTGGCTAAATTTTTCTATGTATTTTTAGTTGTCCAGCTAATTTCTTTCTTTTGGTAGAAATGGGGTCTCATTCTTGCTCAGACTGGTCTTGAACTCCTGAGCTCAAACAATCCTCCCACATCGGCCTCCCAGAGTGCTAGGATTGCAGGCGTGAGCCGCCACGACTAGCCTTAAAGAGTCATTGATATTGGCTGTCTCCAGTTCTTCTGCTAGGCCTTCTTGACCCTCTTCAATAAGGTTTTTGCTCCCACCACTGAACCTTTCCCCGTCCTGATCCTCTGTGAGCACCATGTTGTTAAACCCAACCGTCATTTCCGAGTTCTCATTTCCCAGCATATCCACAGCGTTTGACCATGGTGCTCACACTCCACTCCTACACACACTTTCCTGTCTTGATTGATTTCCAAGACACCACAGAAGCTTAGTTTTCCTTCTATCTTTCTGGCTACTCCCCAATTTCCCTTGCTGGTTTCTCCTTACCTTCCTAACCTGTAGACTTTGGAGTATCTTAAGGCTCAGTCCTTGGACCTCTTCTTCTCTTTTTGATCAACTCTTACTACCTACGTGATTTCACTTATAATCATGGCTTTAAATGCCATGTATGTGCCAATGACTTTGAAATTATTTCCAGCCCAGATATTTCCTCTGGACTCCTGACCTATATATATCTGTCTACCTGACATTTTCATTTGGATGTCTACCAAGCATCTCAAATTTAACATGGCCAAATGTATTCTCCCATGAACCATCAACTCCTGCATTTTCCTGTCTCAGGTAATAGCAGCACCGTTCTTCCAGGTGCCCACCTCAACAGCCTTGGTGTCATTCTTTATCTCCTCATTCTCTACCATTCCATACTAAGTTTGTCAGAATACCATGTCAGTTCTACTTTCCAAATAGAAGCATTTGAGTCTTCCCCAACAGCCCCTTGGTCCAATCCACCATCATCCCACCTGGATTATTGCAGTGGCCTCCTATATGGTCTTCCTGTGTCTGTCTTAGGCCCCGGCAAGAGTGACCTGTTGAAGCCTAGGTCAGATTGTGTTATAACTCTGCATACATCCTTCCAATATCCTCATTTCTCACTCAGAGTAAAAGCCAAAGCCTCAATCTATAAGGCCCAGAATGGTCTTGCTCCCTGTCAACTCTCTGACTTCGTTTTTTACTACTTTCTCCTTTGGTTTCTCAAACTAGCTACTTTGGACTGACTACTTTTTTTTTTTTTTTTTTTTAGGTTTTAAAACATTCTACCTGAATATTTAAAAAATAATTTTGCCTTTCTGTAATTAAAATCATTTGAACAACAACAAAAAATGGCACTATGATTAAACTGCATTTTGCAGCCTGCAGGCACCTGGGTCCAGCTTGGCTTTATTCTAGATTCCACTGTCCTCCCACTCCATTTCCTCCTTCACCAACATGCAAGTTCTTTTCCTTCCCTGCTGGCCAGACAGGCAGGAGGGAGAGGCAGGCACAGCCTTTATCTTCAGTAGTCCTGGATTCTTTGATGTGAAAGGGGCAACATAGCCATTTTTAACTTGATCCAACCTCTTTGCATCTTACAAAGTTAAACAGTTAAAAGAAGTAAAATAAGAAGGCGATACTTGCGGAACACACAGTGTGTATTGGTGGTGCCCATCTCATTACGATTCGCCTTCTTGCTTCTCCTATTCCATCGTTTCTTTGGAAGGCAGTGGATTTCTCACTTGCCTTTCTGTCTTACTCAGTTTCAGCTTATGGAATTTCTCCATCTTAGTCATTTTGGGTTCATCAGACATGGTTGCAGAGGAGCTCAGTGAGGTGCATGAGCAAGTGGAATCTGGTCTGTGCAGTGGTCACTACAGAATCTTGAATTACCAGACACGCTCCTGCCTCAGTGCCTTTGCACTTGCAGTTTCTGGAGTGCTCTTCCCCCAGACAGCTTTCCTTTGGTTCTTTGCTCAAGTCATCTTCTCAGTGAGGCTTTTTTCCATCTACTCTATCTAAAACCTCAATTACCCCTTCCCCAATATTTCATTCTCTCCTTCCACCCTTCATTTATTCTCTTTAATATGTGTCACTTTCTGGAGTATAGTATATTTTACTTATATAGTTCTGTTTATTATCTTTCTTTCCCATCAGGATATTTGGTCCATGAAGTCAAGGATTTTGTTTGTTTTGTTCACTCTTGAAGCCTCAGTTCTTAGAAATGATGGCTGCCATGTTATAGGCCTCAGTAAATATTTGGTGCATACACAAATAGCATGAAATATTGACAAAGATATATGACTTCTTAGAACTTCATTCCACCACTGATCTTTCCAAACATACATTAAAAAAAATTCTTTCATTCTTTTAAGTTGAATAATTTTTGCCATTCTTAGCCACAGAATCATTGTAATATTGAGACACCAGAAATTTCAAATACAAAAAATGACAGCAGTAATAGCTGCCAACTGTATATTTTAATCAGGCATTTATTGGATACCCATTTAGTTCCTAGAGCTGGCTATTTGCTGAAGTGTTACTAGAATAGAGAGATTTAGTGGCAAACAACTGTTTCATGTATGGGCTGTGTGATCAGGGGCAGTCTCCAAATCTCTCTGGCCTCAGTTTTTTCCTCTGTAAATGGATATAATGTTAGTACTCCACCAAGTTGGTGAAAGCTCTACAAAAGTTCAATATATGCATAACTGCATACTTCTTGATGCTTTCATCACAAGAAAAACAACTTTATTAGAAAGAGTAGTTTTTCTGGCACTACTATAGTTTTCCGTGTGTGCTTTTGCAAATGTTACACATACTGCTGCCCGTTGTTTCCTGCCAGGTGTGGATGGAGCTAGTAAGGGAAGACAGGGACAGAAGAACGTCCTTTTCACATGGGAGAAGACTTACCTGACACTATAGAAGCACTATGGCCATTAACAACGGCAAAAACCTACCTTTACAATATTTTACTGCATACAAAGCACTCTCTCATGCCTTATTTCATCCTGAAATCACATCTGGTAGGCAGGATTGATACTATCCTTTCCATTTTTTTTTAGAGGGGAAACTGAGGCTTCCTTTAAGCAACCTGTCCAAAGTGATCCGGTGGGTGAGCGGTGCGGCGAAGACTTCATTTCAGATTTTTTGACTCACTCTCTTTAGAGTACCTGAGGCTCCTACACCAGCAGTTCTGGCAGCTGGGAGAGCCTCAGTATAATGCACGCAGCTGTTGTCTTCCCATTGCAGGGTTGGCGTTCTCGGCCAGAGTTCAAGCCCCCTCACCCTCCAGCACGCCTTCCCCTGGCATTTCAGACAGGCCCTCTGAGGCCAGCAGAGAAATGCAGAGCATCACCTTCTTTTCCATGCCCCCTGGCACCTGGTGGGCTGCTAAGATGCCCATGCTTCACGAGTGCCCAGAGAAGCGGCAGAGCCTGGACATAGAAAACGACAGGTGAACAAGTCCTCTTCCAGGGCCGTCATGTGCCTGGTGCTGAGGGGAGACAGGTGAGACCGGAGCACCAGGTGTGGCTGCTGGCCGACAGCCTCGCCCGGATTCCCTCGCCTAGCGTCTGGTTTCGTTCCCGCTCTGCTTACAGACTTCAGCAGCGTCACCCCAGCACTCTGAGGTTAAAGTCCCCATGTGTGGGTTTAAAAGGCATTCGAGCTCTTCATCCTCTGGCATTAGGATTCTCCTGGTCTAGAACGCTGGGGCACCCTTCCTTCCTTCCTTATCGGGCAAATCCCTGTTCACCCTTGGAGATGTGTCTGAGCGGTCGGTCCTCTGTGAGGCCTTCTTTTCCACCCCACCCCCACCCACGGGGAGAGATGCCCCTTCTCTGTGCACCCCACAACCTTTGCTGGTTTCAATTGCTGCAGTATTACTCAGCGGCAGCTGTTTCCTTGACTCACCCATTGTCCTCAGTGCTGTCACTGGGTGTGGAATTGTTAGATGCTCAATAAAACATCTATTGTATAAATGAGTGTGGTATGAGTGAATTGTCAAATGACCGGCAAGGCAATGTCAACCGAACCCACAGCCTATGATGTGAAAGATGGAACTTAGCACACAATGAATACGTATAGCCGCGACTCTCAGATCGGCCCTCATGCCCTTGGTGACCTTTGGGGTTGGTAGGATGCTTTTAAGGGTTCAAGGAGCATCCTAGCTAGCCTGGCACCAAGAAGGTGACAAGGAAGCTCTCTCACAGAGTGGAGCTGTATGATGCATCCGCAGCATGTCACACAAAAACCACCTGACAGCAAGAGCTGTCGTGGGGACATGTAGGTACCGGAGGAAGTCGTGTGCCTTTGCCGTGTGGGCCCCCAGAGTACAGCGCACAGAAAACACCTTGAACTACAATGCCCCTGGCCCTTCCCCAGCCTGCGGGTTAGGTGGCAGCAGTGGGGGTCCCACACCCAGGGGAAATCTCCAGCTCGGCAGAGGGGCCCGAGAACCTCAGAGCCACACGTGGAAAGTCTAATGAGTAAGACTTTAAGTCTATGAGCAGCAAAGGGTGAGAAACTCGGGGGCCGAGGGGCAAGTCAGAGTTTTCCTCTTACTGCCTTAAATAGAAACTGTTTCCCCCCGTTCCACTGCCTGCCCCCCGTCCCCCAGCTTCAGGTGGTCTACCACAAACACTCTGTGCCGGCTGACGGCTGATGGCAAGAAGCCACCAGCCTTCCGGTCAGGCACCGAGCAGAGGAAGATCGAGCCTGGACCGGGCCCTAACTAAAACAACAGAAAGCTCTCTGACCTTCCGCGGGTGGGCAGGCAGGAGGGAGCTCTGGAGAAAGCATGCTGCCTCTTGTAGGTCTGAACGTGGCCCAGGAAAGAAGCATTGAAGATCTGGAAACCTCACTTGGGAGACCCTTGAGTGTAGGAATCAACTGTCCTCCGGGTCTCTGAACCTGCCACCGGCATGACACCTGGCACCTGGTGGTCATTCAAAAATGTTGAATACATCATCAAATTAAAGAAAAGAGAGAGAAAAATATGGGATTATTCTCTATCTAAAGTAGCTGAGTGCTTGCCAGGTAGGGGGAACACAGAGGAAATAACTTTAGTTTTGGATTTTTTTCTAAGGGGTCAAAGAAGAAGCAGAAATGCTCAGTTATCTCTTGTAAATAACGACGGGGAGTTTGCCCCGTGAGAAAATGTATAACTTTGGCCTTTTAGATGCCATTTAGCACGAGGGAAGAGATGATAGGTTAAGTCACAAGTAAGACATAACTGGGATAAGGGACAACTCCTTCAAGAGCCACTGGCCTGGGTACTAACTAATAGTCTCATTTATTACCCAAGGGCCGGGAACTGCACTCACAGGTGGAGTAGACGATCCTAATCGTGGCTTGATTTGAGGGAAGGGTGATCCAGGCAGGGGAACAGTATATGAGAAGGCCCTGAGGTATGAGAGAACAATGTCTTAGAAATAACTTAATAAATGGGGAAGAAGCAATGAAACTTCGACAGTGGTATGAGAAATTCTAAGCAAAGTGAGAAATATCATAATTAATTCTATTCTTCCTAGCTTGATGGGATCATTGATCAACTTTTGAGAAGAGGTGCCTAAAAATCAGAGCTTGGGTTTAGGTTTAAAGCTTTTGATATCACCTCCACTCTGTCTCTGCACCCTTGCTCTCCCCTTATCCTTACTAAAATTATGAAAGGGTATTGTCATTGTTGACTCTTTCTAGAATAAACAAATCTCCAGATTGCTTCAATTTTAGAGAAGGAGAGAGGAAGAGTTTGCTTTGTGGCTGGCTGTTTCTTGCTGAATCTGAGTATCCCAATTTGAGTTCCAAAATGTCCCTTCTTGGACCTCATTTTTTGTTTGTTTAGTCTTGGGTAAGTTAGTTTCGTTGGACATGTACTGTGTGTCTGCTTGTTTCTCCTTCCGATTTCCTGAAAACTGCCTGTCCACCATCCTATCCAATGTTTACATCTGTCTCCCAGGAATTTTGAATGGAGCCTAAGAGATTCCAGTCTCAGTCTGGGCGGGACTCGGAACAGAGAAGGTAGAAACCAGGGTGTCCCTGAGGTGCCCCGTGGCCTGCTGTGAGGCGGAGGAGGCCATCCTGTTGTGAGGAACCATAGGTGGAGAGGAGGCCTCCTGGGGTCTCTGAAATGCTCCGGGCCTGCACTCAGGTGGTCCCCTGGGCCTGGGCGTGCCTCTGCCCGTGGAGTCCACGAGCTGCCCCTGTATCCTAATGATCATCTCCTCATTTCCACTCAGACTAGTTTCCCTGTGTGTGTGTGCGCACGCGTGTGTGTGTGTATAGTGTATGTACAGTGATCAAAGGTGGGACTGTGTCTACAAAGGAGACAATCAATAGTCCCAGCTGGGGTGACATAGATAGGACCAAGCCTGGGCCATTAAAACTGGGCTGACATAATTTGTCTTGGTCCAGACCTGAACTTATCAGAAGGTCTAGCTTCTCTCTAGCTGTTTACCTTCTGTCCACAACTTCAACTTGCTGTTAAGTGCTTGCTCTATCCTTGTCAGTTTGAAAGTCATTCCCCTTACTGGAGAAAATAGAAGATAAATGAAGCTAGTTTATTCTGCTTTCTTCTTCTGTCAGGTGGATTTTATTAAAACAACCTAACATGCTGCCATGCTTATGAATGGGCTCTAAAAAGTCATACACAAGTACGATTACAATTGCTTATATTAGAAAGGTAACTAGGGGGGATTTTGCATGGGGGACAAAATATAACAGGAAAATGATATTCTCTATGCCACTAGCAGCTGAGAACTCTGCCCGGGTGAATTATAGCTTTCTGGTCTCAGAGCTGCAAGTAGGGTGTCAGATTTAGCAAATAAAAATACAGGAAGCCCAGTTATATTTGAATCGCAGATAAAACAACTAATTTTTAGTATAAGTATGTCCCATGCAGCATTTAGGATATACTTATGCTAAAAATTAATTGTTGTTTATCTGATAGTTAAATGTAACTGGGCATCCTGTATTTTATCTGCCCCTGGTTGGAGGAGACCTCAAAGGAATTCGGTATGATCTTGGTAGAGAAAAATGCTCTGCAGAGCAGCAGTGCTGGGTCTTGCCCCACACCCACTTCTAAACTCCCTCTTCAAAAAGCAACAAATCATAGGGACAGTATATGCCTGGTCAGGATTTTGCATTTAAATACCAAATCTGAAAAACAAAAAATGAAAAGGAAGATTAAGTATCTTGGTAAATGAGGAAAAACTCCCATTCGGTTATTTAGTCATTTAAGTAAAACCAAGTGTTTTGAACTCCCTTTACTGAAATAAGTTGGTGATTTTCCTCACATAATATGACTCTAAGATATTCTTTTAAGAGCTTTCATTCTCACGTATATAAAGTTTTGCATAATATTAACACTATATTAATAATGTCAGGCAGTATGTATTGAGTGCTTAATGCATGCCAGGGACTCTTCTAAGCACTTTGCATGTGCTCATTCATTTAATTCTTACAACAGCCCCATGTAGTATATTATTACCTGCATTTTATATAGATGGGGAAAGTGAGGCACAGAAAGGGTAAGTGCATGAAGTAACTCGCTGAAGGGCAGACAGCCACTAAGTGATCATGCAGATATGGTCATGGCAGCCTGGTTCCAGAGCTTGGGCTCTTAACCATGGCAGTAGATTATTTCTTACAGGGAGATATTCTCAAAGGAACAAAATGATATTAAATTAAAAATAGTGTACACTGGGTGTTCTGGTGTCTGAAACTACACATTTGGTTCTACAGCTTTAACAGACTTCCTGATTTTATCTGCTTGATTACATGGCTCCACATTATGGTCTCTCCTACAAGCCATGTCAGCTTCTGCATCATAACTCTAGGGTGAGAATCTAGTAAAGTAGATTAGTCGGTTTGCTAGATTATTCTTTATAGTTTCCTCTTAGTTATCTCACATTGACCCAGTGGAGCATATAAATTACAAGTAATCGCCTTCCAGTAGTTGAAGATCAGTCTGCCTTCCCGAGGTTCTCTTTGCTTTTGGTCCAAATACTTTCAGCTTTTTCAACCACCCCTTTGAGCTCTCAGGAATAATTCAATCATGGTTGAGTTCTGTGACTGTGCATATTATCTCCTTCGGCATAAACCTGTATGTAGAAATTTTCCTATCATAAAACTTTAGTACATGTTCAAATAAAAAAAAATCATGGCCTTTTACAGGATATCAAAAAGAAATATTTTTCCCATGGGCCTTTGGAATGGAAATTCTGTCCTTGTAGTTTCCCATGGTGATTCTATATGCACGATCCTTTCCACGCCAATTTCTTGACAATAAAAGGTAAAATGATAAAAATATTTTCTTTTATGTGTTAGGCCTGCTCAAATATATATTTGAGAATTTAAGTGCAGGGCTTTATAGTGAAAGCAAATCATTAAATCCCGGCATTTACCTACTCCCATGCCAAATGAGGCTAAATCCCCCAACCAATTCTCTTTCACTTTATCTTTTCCAATTCTCCCTATCAAAGGCAAATCTTTACAACAGACAGATTGCTTTAACTTTTACTTAAATAGCCTAGCATTGGAACTTGCAGAAACATATGGAGGGAACGGATAAAGTGAGACAAGGAATCTGGTTTACCTGCTCCCTGACGTCAGAGGGGACAGGCAGTAGCTGGAGAAAGTTTGGGGCACGCGACTAAATTTAGCCTCTGTGGAATGTCTGATGGCGGTCGGAGACTAAGGGCTAATGGTTTTGAAAGTATTCATCACCACCGATGCTGACGAAATTGCACTGCAGTTCTGGTTACTTTCAATAAACCACATAGACCCACTGTGGATTCTATTAATATGAATGTGCTGTAGCTAACACTCAGCACAGTACCCACCAGCAAGAGTGTGTGTTAGGGGTTGTGTGTGTGTGTGTGTGTGTGTGTGTGCATACGTGGGTGGGGGGAGAGAGACAGAGAGAGAGGGAGAGAGAGAATGAAACTGATAAGAAAATAGCAGTGGTGTGATTTGCCCCCATATACTTTGTCTACAGCATTACTGTTGTTCTCTTAAGCTGAACCAGGCTTCAGCAATAGTGCCAGTGCTCTTCGTAGGTAGAGTCATGTCTACCATGATTTTGTGCTACTTTAACAAAAACAACCTTATACCTGTTTTTACTCCTTTTCACTGAGGTGAATTCTGATGTACAGTAATTCTCATCCATGGAAACCAATGGGTACCATTCCATTTATCTAAACTAGCAGTTGTGCTTCTGGGAATTTGCCTAAAGAAAGCACTGGGCAGTGCAGAAAGATCTATGGGAAAGGATGTGGCAGTCTTGGCAATACCCTTCTCCTTCCTAGGAATTACCTAAATGGCCATCATTAGGAGGTGAGTTGAATAATTTTGTTGCATGCTTTTAAGGGAATTCTCTGTGGCCATTAAAAATGATATCGTTTTATATTTACAAACCTGGAATATGCTTATGTTTTTATGTGAAGACAAAACAAAGGAACAGTATATATAGTTTATTCTCTTTTTTTCCCCTTAGACCCAAAGTATTAACACTCATTAGGTGACATGCTGATGATGAAAAAATTATCATCATTGTATAATTCTAAATTTTTGAATCTAGCTATCTATACCTCAATGCATAGGAAATATTCTAGAAAGATAGCAAAATGCTGGGAATAATTATCTCCAGACAGTAGAATTATAAGTGATTATAACTTCATTTTTGCTGATCTGTTTTTAAAATAATTTTATATAATTAATATTCATTAAAGTGTTCATATAAGGAAAAATAGAATATAAAAATTTTTAAACAGAAATAAATAAACCATATAACTATATCTTTGTTTCTGAAAATATCACTTCCTCAGTGAAGCCATTTCTAATTAAATGAAAGAGATACAAGGAATTCTTTCAATGATGCCTAGTCTAAACATACAACTTATCCACACTGGTCACAAGGTGTACTGATCCCTTCTTTTGCTTGGATGGGGCACTTACTAAACAATTATTATTTTTAAATCGTAGAGCTGCTACTACTCAAAAAATTCAGCTTACTCATGCTTAAAGTCCTTGTATTGCCTAAACATATTTAATTATCTTTATTGTTACCATTGTTCCCAAGCTGGTCCATCCAATCTAATGAGAACCTTACCATATCTTTTAGGCACTTTGAAGTAACGAGATCATCCCATTTATGACAGATAGCAAATATAAAAAGCATTAATTGAGGACCTACTATTATCTCTTTAACTATTTTGATTAATATCAATTATTTCTCTAAAATAAATTTATGAGACAGAAATTATCTCTATTTTCGGAAAAATGAATAGGGACTTGGGAAAGTCAGATGATTTCTTGCATCATAAAATTAGTCATTGGCAAAGCCACGACTCAGACCTTGGTCTGTTGATTTTAAATCCCATTTCTTTTCTCATTTCCATATTCCTCAAGAGGAATAATAGAGAACTAAATGCATTTGGCAACTTCCCATCAAAATTGTATCTATGCTGTCTGTGGAGATCATTCTTTCAGTCTGAGTTCTTAGTTGAAAACAACAAAACATACTTTAGTCAGGAACAAGTTGCAAATCACATTGTAGGACTGCCTATAGCTGGATCCACACAGTGCTTCGTCAGAGGCACAAGGTTGAATTTTGGACACCCTTGGGTCACCTTTGCTATGGCAGCTTCTGAAAACTCCATGACCACAGTAATTGAGACAGTGTGGTATAGGTGAAACAACAGATAAATAGATCAGTGGAACAAAAGAAAGCCCAGAAATTGACCCACACAAACATAGTCAACTGATTGTTGACAAAGGACTAAAGGCACTTCATTAGAGAAAGGATATTCTTTTCAACAAATGGTTCTGAAACAATTGGACATTCATATGCAAAAAACGAAAAATCTAGAAATAGACCTAATACCTCTCGCAAAATTAACTCAGCATGGATTAAGACTTAAAATGTAAAATGTAAAACAATCAAACTCCTAGGGGATAACATAGGAGAAAAATCTAGATAACTTTAGGTTTGGAGATGACTCTTTAGATAGGACACCAAATGCACTAACCATGAAAAAAAAAGTTGATATGTTGGACTTCATGAAAATTAAAAACTTCTGTTCTGTGAGAGATACTGTCAAGAGAATGAGAAGATAGACCACAGACTATGAGAAAATATTTTCAAAAGACATAGCTGATAAATGACTGTTATCCAAAACATACAAGGAACTCTTATAATTCAGCAATAAGAAAACAACCAACCTGATTAAACAACCAGGGCAATAATCTGAACAGACACCTCACCAAAGAGGGTATACAGATGGAAAATAAGCCTATGAAAAGATCCTCAATGTCATACTTCATTAGAGGGTTGCAAATTAAAATAACAATGAGATACCACTCTACACCTATTAGAATGGATAAAATCCAAAACAGTGGCAACACCAAATGCTGGTGAGGATGTGGAGAAATATGGACTCATTCACTGTTGGTGGGAATGTAAAATGATACAGACTTTGGAAGACATTGTAGCAGTTCCTCATAAAGCTAAACATAGTTTTATCATATGATCTATCAATTTCATTCCTTGGTATTTATCCAAAGGAGTTGAAAACTTATGTCCACACAAAAACCTGCACATGTGTGTTTATTGCAGCTTTGTTCATAATTGCCAAAACTTGGAAGCAATTAAGTTGTTCTTCAATAGGCGAATGAATAAGTTGTGAAAAGGCATGGAAGAACCTTAAAGGTATATTACTAAGTAAAAGAAGCCAATTAGAAAAGGCAAAACTATGGAGGCAGTAAAAAGATCAGTGGTTATCAGAGGTTTGGTGAGAGGGATGGATGAATAGATGGAGCATGGGTGATTTTTAGAGCAGCAAAACTATGGTGTATGAATACTAAAAGAATGAATACATGTCATTGCACATTTGTCAAAACCCACAGAATGTATAGCATAAATAGTGAGCTCTAATGTAGACTAGGGATTTTGGATTATAACAATGTGTCAATGCAATTTCATCAATTGTAACAAATGCACCACTCTAGCGAGGGATGTTAATCGTGGGGCAGGCTGTGAGTATATGTGGGGTGAGTGGGTACGTGGGAAATCTCTGTACTCTTTGCTCAATTTTGCTGTGAACCTAAACTGCTCTTAGAGATAAAATCTATTATCAATAAACAAACAAACTCCATGACTCTTGCCAACAAGCATAAAAATTCTCTCCCCAAATACGGATCATATATCGTGTCTTCTCCCTCGATGCTGATCTCTTGTATATCCAAGCTTGTAGAGGTGGTTTGACTGGTTCAGTCTAAGTCACGTGCTGGTGCTGGGTTTGATAATGGAGTTTTGGATTCTACCATGGGAAAAAAAAGCTATCCTATGGGAGATTCTATAGATATAGGAGGCCAGACTGCCACCAGTGTGGCAAATGTTCACCGTAGACACCAATGTGGAAAGGGGGAAAAACCCTACATTAAAATTTTCCAACAGCTAACTCCATTATAGCACAAAATCACAATAATTCACTCTTTTCCCCATTGGAGGCAAAAAATGTATTCTCTATTTTGCTATTCGCTTCCTTTAATTTCTATACGTTCAGTTTTTCAGGTGTGTGTTTGGGGGGTTCCTGAAGACATGCCTAAAGTGCACCTGTAACGTTTGCAAACTGCTTGTGATACACCCACTTCTAGGAATTATTTACTACAAAGGCAAGCAGTTCTCCCCACTAGCATTTTAAGTGCAAAGCAAGCAAAGTTTACACATTTATTAGACCCTTTTCGTGTCAGTTACATAAATGTAATTACCCTTAGTATATTTATTTTGGATGTCTGAGGAAAACTCAGATGCTGGAGAAATACTCAAAAGACTTTTTTTTTTTTTTAAATGTTAGAACGATCAACTAACTATACCAGTGTAAGGATGATTTCATCTTTAGCTTTGACAATAAATAAGAAATTAATGGATTTGGCTATTCCAATTGGAAATAAATATACGTGGATTCAAGAAATTTCCTACAGCAGGAAAAATATAAAAGACAATAAGAAAGGAGGAAGAAACAAGAGGAAAAGGAAGGACAGGCTCTGGGAGAGTAGAGGCTGGTGCGGTTGGGATGACTATCATTACTTTAGACTATGGGTTGAGACCCAAAGGAAAAGAATCATGATCATAAAGAGAAGAGAAACTCCTACTCCTCAATAGCAAAATCAACAACAACAACAAAAAACCTGGGAAAAAAACCCCAATACCAAAACCCTATTAGAAATGAACAAAGGACTTGAATAGGCATTTCCCTAAGAAGACATACAAATGGTCAACAGGTATATAAAAAGGTGCTCAATATCATTATGTTAGGGAAATGTAAATAAACGCCACAATGAGATATCATGTCATATCTGTTAGGCTGGCTATTATTAAAAAAATTAAAAAGAAAACAAGTGTTGGTGAGGATGTAGAGAAATTGTAACTCCTGTACACTGTTGGTAGAAATGTAAATTCATGCAGTTGCTATGGAAAAGAGTATAGAGGTTCCTTAAAAAGTTAAAAATTAAAAATTAAAATTAAAATTAGAACTATCATATGATTCAGGAATCCCATGTTATGGTATATATACACAAAAAAATTGAAATCGGAATCTTGAAGAGATACTTGTACTCCTGTGCTCATTGCAGCCTTATTCACAATAGGCAAAATATGGGGCCAACACAAATGTCCATTGATGAATGAATGGATAGAGAAATTGTAGCATATACATATGATGGAATATTATCCAGACTTAAAATAGAGGGAAATCCTGCCATAAGTAATAACATAGATGAACTTGGAGGACATTATGCCAAGTAAAATAAGCCCGTCACATAAGGACAAATACTGGATGATTCCACTTATAGAAAGTATCTAAAATAGTCAAACTCATAGAAACAGAAAGTAGAATGGTGATTGCCAGGGGCTTTGCAGAGGGTGACTTGGGGAGTTGCTGTTTAGCAGATATAAAGTTTTAGTTATTCAAGATGAGTAAGTTCTAGAGATCTGCATAAAACACTGTGTCTATACCATAGTTAACTATACTATGTTTTGCACTTAAAAATTTAAGAGAGTAGATCTCATGTTAAGTGTTCTGACCATAATAAAACAAATAAGAAACAACAAAGGATTATTCAGAAAGATGAAAGAGAGAGAGAAAGAAAAAAAAGGGGTGAAAGGTGAATTGTACACTCAGCCTGAGTAGCTAAGGAGAATATAAAACTTTTGCAGGTATTAGAGGGAAGTTGGTATGAATATAACTTTACATTTAGGGTTTATTTGGAATGATATTAAAATACCATATAATGAAATTGTATTGAACACAATTGGATATTGAACAAAATTCTTT